GTCTGAGATGGTTCAAGATGCATTCTGGAGAGCGAAAATTGAGCATGAAAATATATGTACCTTTCAAAAATCTGCTGCAGTGAAAACGGACATATTTGAAAAATGCTTCAGTCAATACAAAAAAGGAAGCACATATATATGCATAGAATAACAATACCATTCCTGGCCAGTGGTGGGATTCAGCAGGTTCGCATTAGTTCTACAGAACCAGTAGCTAATGTATTATTGGTTCTGCAGAACCGTTTGTTGGCCTGCTGAATCCCACCACTGTACCTATCCCCCAAAAATAAAGGCAAATCAAAGTAAGCCACTTATGTACTGCCTCATAGTGCTTAAAGCTTATCCCCCCAAAATAAAGGCAAATCAAAATATGCCACTTATGTACTACCGCATAGTGCTTAAAGCTCTCTCTGGGCAGTTTACATTTTAATTATGCAGGCTACACATACTCACCCCCAACAGGAAGCTGGGTATTCAGTTTAGCAACCTCAGAAGGATGGAAACTTGAATCAATCTCGAGCTGGTTACCTGAGCCTAGGATTGAACTCAGATCAAGAGCAGAGGCTTCACTGTGGTACTGTCATTTAACCACTACGCCAAGAGGCTCAATAGGTCTGGTTCTATGTGGAATGTACAACAGAATGTGATTCTGAGGGATGAAAAGATACCAAACTAGTGGATCAGAATTAAAAGCTGCCCCATGTAGAGTGCGTAGAAATACTTTAGATTCAGACTGGGTAATATACAACATGGAGAGGGGGAATTTGCTGCTTGGGTAACAGCCTATCCTCCATATTATTTTACCCAGGCTTTATGCTCTGGAGAGAACATTCTCCAAGTCCTCCATACAGAGCACATTACCGTAGTCTCTCAAGACTGAAGGATGCCTAATCGAAATATATAGCAGACATGCCCTGCACAGAGGTGGGCACAAAACCAACTATGAATCCAAAAAATTGTGAAACCAGGCTGGTTCATGTTCCCCTTAACATTTAGTCCAGTCGTGTCTGACTATAGACCGCAATGCTCATCCCCATCTCCAAGCCGTAGAGCCAACATTTTTTCTATAGACAGTTTCCGTGGTCACATGGCTAGCGCGACTAGACACGGAATGCCGTGACCTTCCCACTGAGGTGGTATCTATTTTATCTACTCACATTTTTACATGCTTTCGAATGGCTCGGTTGGCAGGAGCTGCGACAAGCAGCGGGAGCTCCCTCCGTTGCATGTATTCGATCTTACGACGGCTGGTCTTCTGACCTTGCAGCACAGAGGCTTCTCCGGTTTAACCCACAGCGCCACCACGTCCCACAACCGTCATACCTGGCAACAGCAACTCCTGTCACCAGGACTTAGGTTTCTGACAGCATGGTTCCATGAGGACTGTTCAGCAAGCCAAATGAGATGAGAGATCTCACTGGGACCCTAAGAAATAGATTAAACATCTCCTGGAGGGTTGCCATCAGTCTTTTGCATGCTAGAAATAAGAGCAACCAAGCAGACACGTCAAATATAATTTATGTGGCCAGGATGCAGTCGCCAGCAAAATACGCCACGTTCTCTGCAAAAGTCCCAAATGCCAAATATTTTTAGACCTGATTTATTCCAACTCTTAAGAATAGGGGCTTGGGTTCTGATTTTAAAAGTGCATTTAAAAATAAAAGGACAGAAAATGTCTTGCCCTTTAGAATTGTACCGATGTGAAATTAATCAAGAAAGGAAGCCCAATCTTGGACATTTTAGAACACATGTCTGTGTTGAGATCACATATAAACCATTTCAGTATCTTTCCAAATGAGGAAGCAGGAAGGAGTAAAAAAATACGTGTCCTTTGGGATATAAACTCAGAAGCTGGAGTGACAAACTCCTATTTTCCCCACTGAAAAATAAGCTAAAAATGGCTGATCTTTAAACATGGTTTCCGTACTTATTTTCTGCTACTGGAACATCACAGAGTGTACTCTAACATTCCAACTCCTCCGAGGGGAGCATCAACAGATACAGTGGGGTCTTGACTTAAGAACGGCTTGAGTTAAGAACATTTTGACTTAAGAACCGCTCTCATAGGAAAATATTGACTTGACTTACATACTTAGATTTGAGTTAAGAACTGAAAAAAAAACCACGTGGGAGGCAGGGAAAGTGCAAAATTTGAACTTTCAGTTAACTGTTGGCCAGTGAAAAGGGTGCCTGTCTGCTTCCTCACTCCTCCCAGCATTTAGAGAGTGGATTGGGAGACAGTCTTCGGACTGCCTGGTACTGTACTGCCTGGACTGTATTTTCCCTGCCTTCCCTGAACCTTTCTTGACCTAAGAAAAAAAGAAACAAAATATTCCCCCTCTAGTGGTCGAAGGCGGAATAGCAGCTTCCCATTAGTTTTCTATGGACGGAAAAGAGCAGATACGGATCAAATGGTTTTCAATGCATTCCTATGGGAAATGCAGATTTGACCTGAGAACTTTTTGACTTGAGAACCGCCTTCCAATATGGATTAAGTTCTAAGGGGAGCATCAACAGATAACCAAGTTGACCAATCTGGGTTTTAGAGTTAGAGTAGATATCTCCTTAGGTAGTTATTGGCAGAAAAGAAGGGAATGGGTTATGGCCCTTGGAAGGTAGAGACCATAGCAAGTTGCTTTATAACCCAAGGTGGAAAAATACTTTGATGAAGCAATTAGTTACAGTTATAGAAAGCTCAATGGTTTAGGCCTCTGGCTGTGGAGTTAGAAGTTGGTAATTTGATTGCCACGCGATGGAGTGAGCCCCCGTCGCTTGTGGTTTGGCCATGGAGCTAGAAGTTGGTAATTTGATTGCCACGTGATGGAGTGAGCCCCCGTCGCTTGTCCCAGCTCCTGCCAACCTAACAGTTCAAAAGCATGTAAAAATGTGATTGCCCATGTGTCTCCAAGGACAAAAGCCAGCCTGGGTGGCCTTGGGAAAGTTGTGTAGTCCCCAGGCACCCCCAGAAGAAGGGAATGGAAAACCACTTCTGAATATTCTCTACCTGGAAGATCCTGAAAAGGGTTGTCATAAGTCAGAAATGACTTGACAACACATGATGATGACTATGGAACATTGATTGGACTGCATGCTTAGCATTGTTCCTGCTTAAATAAATAAGGGAAAGACAAAGATGAGAGGAGCTATAAACCAGTTTCTGAAATGTGCTTTTCCAGGACGGTGTCAATGTTATGGGAAATGTATCATCAGTGGGTTTTTTTAAAAACAATTATCCATATTTGTGGCCCGCTAATGGGACATCAGTAGCTACTACTGTAATGGCTACATATCCACTTCCAGCATCAGAGGCAGCATGCTGAGGGACAAAAGGGAAAGGGGGAGTTGTACATATTTCCTGCTTTGGGGCTTCTCATAGGCATCCCATAGGTTGGCTACTTCGTGAACATGGTGGCCTCATTCCATTGCTATTCACAACTAGAGTACACCTATTGGATCAATAAAGGATAGTGAGACAATGTATATCTTAAGTCCTGTTCATCACTGAGTCTATTCTGATTGGGATCAACAATTGGATTTAGACCAAAATGCTGAACTCGACAGGCTATCAGTCTAATCCAGGAAGGTTGTTTTAATGACCTGTGTTCTTCTGGAGAACATATCTACCAATGGCTAAAGTTAAACAGAACCTCCATTTAACTTCTAGCGAGGAAGGACACCTATGGTTCAGAGATAATGATAGAGGATGACCAACATCTATGTCTTTCTTAGGGCAGCTTCTGACACTCAAGAGAGGGCCTTCTCAGTGTCTACTCCCAAGTTTTGGAACACAATGCCTTGAGAAGCCAGTTTTGCCCCCCCCCCTCTATGTCCTTCCATCATCAGCCATAATCCTTCATTTTCAAGCAGGTGTTTAAGCACTAAGTGAGGGTCTAGGGCAGGAGTCCCCAACCCCTCAGTCTGTGGTCCAGTGCCGGTCTGTGGGCTTCCTTGAACTGGGCCATGGACACAGATCTCCGGGGCCCCCCCACATGCACAGTGGCTGTGTTGTGCTTGCAGGTGACCCACCCCTCCGCAAGCATGACCCACCACCCGCGAGCATGACACACCCATCTGCAAGCATGACACGCTCACCCACGAATGTGATACGTCCCTCTGCAAGTGTGACACGCCCACCTGTGAGTGTGACACACCCACCTGCGAACGCAGGGATGTCCCCACCCCCCACACATGGTGCTCACCCCCCCAACCAGTCCACGGTCTGAAAAAGGTTGGGAACTGCTAGTCTAAGGGATACAGTATTTATGAAATTTGAAAATATTAAAAATGATTTTAATCTTGATTAATGTTTGTGTTTTAATATAGTTTTGTACAGTATTTTAAATCTCTTATTATTTTGCAGTTTTAATTGTCTCAAGTGCCCTTGGGTCCCCTCTGGGGAGAAACGCAGCATATAAATAACATTAATAAATTTAATTAATTAATTTAATTAATTAAATGGACTTTTATTGGAGAAAGGACTCCGGCTTGGTCTGATGGATAAGAACCATCCCATTATATATCTCTTTTGATGTTCGTAGGAGTCTGACAAATGACTCAAGGGTTTTCCTTTAAGTACTCCAGAATTTTGACTCATTGCCCGGTTTCGCAACCTGTAAATATAGTTTCTGCTCAAGCCCAGCCATAATTATTTTTATGACACTTCCAAGTATTTTAACACTCTTAATGGCACATAGCTGGGATAAAAATGAAACTTTTTAAAAAATTTGTTTTGCTATAATGGCCAGCCCATGCCTTCCTGTTACACTATAGCATATAACTGTGTCAATGCTTACTTCATTTTAGTTAAATTTGGACTGTGATTGAGCAGAAGTTAAGAAAAAAGGTAAATTTCAGTTAAGAGTACTCAGTATCCTGATGTACAATTACGGGGCCATATTGTTTCACATTTACTTAATGTACAATGGCTTTTGCTCCACTTCCAGCCTTAATTCTGGCTGCAGATCATTACCCACAAAACTCCAGGCCAGTAGTTTGTCGTGATAGCTTTATTTCACCAAGTGTTTGATTCAATTTAAAATCTGACCCCCTGTCTTGTCTTTTTCTCTGGCTCTGTTTCTGACCAATCTTTGCTCTTGTAAAGTTGCTTTGCACTGTATTTTTAGCTTGTGTTGTGAACTGCCTCAAGGAGTCTCTTTGTGAGCTGGAAGGCAGAATATATGCCTTTTTAAAAACACACCATAAATACACCGACTGCCCAATCCCGGTCATAAGGACACTTCCTAGCTCTGCTTCCATTATGGCCCTTATTTTCTTTTTGTCCACCAGAGGGAAGAAGTAGACCAGGAAACACAAACTTGACATTTCTACAAGTAGATCTTTCTGGCTTTCTTTCTCAGCGATATATATTAGGTATTCAACAAAGCAACAGTAAGTAAAATAACAAATATCCATGAATGCGCATTGCAAGAATGAACTTTACAGAGAGAACATATAAACAGCTTGTAAATTTAACGAACAACAACAAAAATAGTCATCATGTTCTTTGGAGAAACACCTTGAAAAGTTTGTTAAGAGTTTCAGCAAAAGTCAGGTTAAAGTGCAAAGGAATCTAAGCAAGGATCGGAGGTGAACAGATCGTATTTTATGCAGGTCTGCACTCCAACATCTTCCTGAAACTCTTCTGAAAGCTGTCATCTAGGAAGGCATACAAGAATGGATTCAAGCAAGAGTTGGCATAGCTCAGGCTAGTGATGAAGTAGGAGATGCCTATAACCGCAGGGGTCTGGGGCAAGTCAGTGGTCAAAGCCACAATGGTGGCCAGGTGGAACGGCGTCCAGCAGAAAAGGCACACGGCTAGCACAATGAACACCATGATTGTGACTTTCTTTTTGGCCTTGTCTAGAGCTTTAGTATTTGAGTTCAAATGCATGTTTCTCAGTTTGTACAACATCACAGAGTAGAGGATGCAGATGGTGGACACAGGAATGGCGAAGCCCAAGATGAGGGTGTAGATCCTACTGGCTTTGAACCAAAACCTTTCTGGTCTGGGGAAATTGAGCCCACAGCTGGTGATGTCCAAGTCATCTTTATAGACGTTGGCAAAGACAAAGAACGGGGAGACAATGAGAGTGACCAAGCACCAAACCCCAAAGCTGATGATGCGGGCTGCCCGGTAGGTACGATGGGGCATGCGTTTAGACCTGACGGTAGCTAGGACCACTAGGTATCGGTCTATGCTCATCACAGTGAGGAAGTAGATGCTGGAGAAAATGTTGTAGTGGTCTATAGACAAGATGATTTTGCAAAGGATCTCCCCAAAGGGCCAGTAGTGCAGCAGATGTTCTGCAATGTTAATGGGAAGGACGAGTGTAAACAGGTCATCGGCAATGGCCAGGTTGAGGATAAACATGTTGGTTACAGTCTTCATCTTAGGGGCTTTGAGGATCACATAGATGACAGCCGTGTTGCCCGTGAGACCCACAGCACAGATCACAGAATAGATGACTGGGAGGACAACATAGAAATCGGGAGACTGTTCATGGAAGGTGAGGTTGATGCTCGTAGCATTGTCTCTGCAGCAGGAAGGGCTGGTGCCATTGAACGTGACATTCGGTTCTCCACCCTCAGAGGAGTTTGCCATATCTCCCTACTCTCTTCACTTATTGTTCTTCAGATGATATTGCCAGTAAATAAGGACACAAGCTTGGCCGAGATGGAAACATGTTCTGGAATGACTTGTGACGTGAAGAAGGTCTTGGAGAAAGAAATGATAGATGGGCCTCGTTAATTTTCTTGGATCAGTTGGAGTCGAATGGCGTCGGGCTCTAAACAAAAATGCTGGCGCAAATCAAAACAAAGAAAAGTTAAAGAAAAGTGGTCCTCGGTGTTCAAAGTACACAATCCTTATGAACTGCAGGTCTTCTGTATATGACACACTCATCTGCTTCTACACTATTTAAAGCCTAACTTCTCGTGTTTGAAATGGAAGCTGATTAACTCTTGGAACAAGCTTCGTCTATATACAGAACACATCTCTTGTTCCCTGTTCTGCATCAAAAACAGAAGTAAAAGTACTTTGAACTATTAGGCTGCTGTGCTTTGATCCCCATGGAACCACCTGCAGACAATGAAGAGAATGATATATATTCAATGCTTTCCAGACTATAATTTGTTCACTTCTGGAAGGGAGGGTGCAGTCACTTCATAAAACCCTATAGAAAAGAAAGGGACAGAAAGGGATAATCCAAATAGAACTTTTAAAAAAACCATACACACCAACATTCTAATTCAAAACTCTCCAATTCCTTTTCTAATCTAACCATGGACAAATAAGTCAACTGAAAATGCAAACCTACAGGCATCCTGCCTGATCCAGACCCCCCCCCAAAAAAAAACCCCAGCGTATCTGTGCAAAACGGAACAGCAAATTCCCAACATGAAAATCATGCTTAAAAGAAAGGAAGCTCTTTTTTAAAGAAATGTTTTTCCCTTGGTATTTCAAGCTTCCGTACCTTTTGCGCTGTGTTTGGGTCATTCCCCAACATCTGTCAATCAGGGTCTTCTCCTTGCCTCCAAGCTGTGCAGAGAGCATCGGAGAAGAAGCTCCCTAGGTTTTAGCTCTCAGGTTGCTGTCATTTTCCTCCTCCCATTTACGAGGCTGCAGAAAATATGAGCCTGCTGGTTGAGAGTACTACTCCATCACTTCAAACTCCCCTGCTAGTTTTTCCTGCATGCTTCTCTTACCTAATCTGGCCAGGGATTCTTGCCTTTGACTCCAGCTTTAGCTTCCTGCCTGCCTTGCGCTGACTTGTCTGCTTAAAGACGAAGCAGAGGAGGAACCCTGCGCTCAGCTGATGCTACATTTTCCGGTGACTATAAACATGTGCTTCTCGATTCTCTCTCTCTCTCTCCTTCTCCTCCCCCCTCCTCTCCTTCCCTCCCCCCCCTCTCTGTGTATATATAAATAAAACCCATTAAATTAGGCTGTGTCATACTGGGCAATGATTATTTACATCTGCTTTCATCTAATTAACTAATAGTGTCCCAGTGGCACTGCAAAGCACCAGGTGGATAGAAAGAGCTTCAGTGTCTTTATTTGGCTCTTGCTTTTTTAGACAAGAGAAGTAGAAACAGTCCACTGTTCATTTCTGAAACCAGAAACTCAAGGGCTTATGAGGCATACCTTGAAGTGGGGTTATCTGGCAGTGGTGCCTGAATCCTGCACACACACCCCTTTAAAGAACTTGTCTAGATGGAGTTATTTGACAACAGGTGTTGGTTGAGGGAGAGTGTAGCACTTTGTTGTTGTTTAGTCATTAGGTTGTGGGAGAACGGGTGTTGGTTGAGGGAGAGTGTAGCACTGTTGTTGTTTAGTCATTAAGTTGTGTCTGACTCTTCGTGACCCCATGGACCAGAGCACGCCATGCCCTCCTGTCTTCCACTGCCTCCCGGAGTTGTGTCAAATTCATGATGGTCGCTTTGATGACCCTGTCCACCCATCTCGTCCTCTGTCGTCCCCCATCTCCTCTTGCCTTCACACTTTCCTAACATCAGGGTGTTTTTCAGGGAGTCTTCTCTTCTCATGAGATGGCCAAAGTACTGGAGCCTCTGCTTCAGGATCTGTCCTTCAAGTGAGCACTCAGGGTTGATTTCCTTCAAAATGGATAGGTCTGTTCTCCAGCACGGGACTATCAAGAGTCTCCTCCAGCACCAAAGTAGGGTTCAGTAGGGTAGCACTACTGAACCCTAAGTAGGAACTGAGGTGATCTTCAAGAACATATATCTGGGTCCACCCCACCCCATTGAGGCCAGTGGCTCCAATGTGGTGAGGAGAGTCAACACGCTCTGGGTTTTAGTCTGAACTTAATATGAGTGTTTATAAATGCTCATTCTTATTCCCCTCCCAACAGGGTTAGAACCTTGGAAAGCTCCTTCTGAAATCCAGGGCAGAATCCTGAACAGATTTACCTTCATATCAGAGTCACCACAGGAATTACAGGATACTGAGAGTGAAAATGAGGTCCTTTATTTGCCCCCGTGGGTGAAAGGTGTAACCAGAAATGATCTGAGGCTATCCAAGGTGCAACTGATCTGAAGATTTATTTGAATCAGAGAAGATAAACAGGGAATATAACTGCTGGATAGCTCAGGGTTTAGGCTTCTTGCCAGAGGTTGGGAGTCAATTCCCCATTGTGCCTCCTTGACAGGGGCTGGACTTGATGATCTCACAGGGTACCTTCCAGCTCTGCCATTCTAAAATTATAATCCACAATATTTAAACATGTCAAAGGGAAATCAATGAATTTCTAACACATTACAATGCAATGAGGAGATGAATAGAGTAAAGCAGAACAACTGGTATTAAAGTATCAGATGAAATTGTAGTTATGAAAAATTAGCCATACAGTAGTTAGTCCTTTATAAGTTAGTCCTTTAGTCCCTTTATATTCAGTGGAAGGACAGATCCTGAAGCTGAGGCTCCAATACTTTGGCCATCTCATGAGAAGAGGAGAAAGACTCCCTGGAAAGGACCCTGATGTTGGGAAAGAGTGAAGGCAAGAGGAGAAGGGGACGACAGAGGATAAGATGGTTGGACAGTGTCATCAAAGCAACCAACACAAATTTGACCCAACTCCAAGAGGTAGTGGAAGACAATAGGGCTTGGTGTGTCCTGGTCCATGGGGAATCAGACATGACTTAATGACTAAACAACAAAAACTCCTTTATAAAGCACTAAATTTGACCCTTTCACCAGCGTTCTAGTTGAAGCTCCCTGTGTTCAGCAGTCTTTGCCTAAATCCTTTATAAAGCACTAAATTTGACCCTAACTTTCACCAGCATTCTAGTTGAAACTCCCTGTGTTCAGCAGTCTTTGCCTAAATAAAGATAGAGAAAGAAAGACATATAGCTATCTATTCCAAATAATACGTTCCTGACAACTCGGGGGAATGTGCAGGATAATTGAACCAGGAGAATCCATATGGGAAAATCAGAAAGGAAAATGTAATATAAAGTAGTGAAGTTGTTTGTGTATGTATGTGTGTGTGTTTTTTGGGTGCATGTGTGTGTGTGTGTGTGTGTGTGTAAGGAATAAATCAATAAAGGCAATAAGGGAGGTGTAGAATCTCCTGGAAGAAGCAGTCTAAAGACTGAAGCTACTCTCACGCTGAAGACAAATTAAGGCCAAAGGCCACAGAACGGTCAAAACCTGCAAAAGTAAAATTTACATGACAAATAGTGAACTGAAATGATCTGTGTGTGAATGTGAATGAATGTGATTCGAAGTCCGAGTCTATTTGTCCCAGGCAACAATTGCTTTTTGTTCCACTGATGCCTCTAATTCTCTTGCATTCTGGTTGGCTTCCTTACCTTCTCCCCTAAAATTCAGTTTTGTGTTGGTTGATGGCAAGCTAAGCAAGCTAAGAAAGTGTGTTGCACCACTTTTCTTTATTCACAGAAAGTAAATCACCCCCTTGCCCTTTGGCACAGGATGTGACCATTAACATCTTATCAGGGTATATTCTGAACCTGGAGCGAATGAAAATTTCCAACCTAGTAGCCTGTCCACACTGTTCCACTGTCTTCCAAGCTCGGCCAGAGCCTTGTTTCCCCAGCAAACACATACATCTGTCTCTTTTTGCTCATTCCTCATGCAGAAGTCCACTTTGGAAGGAATCCGCCACCCTTTTTGCCAACAGGAAACTGTCAATTGGGGTGCGTATGAAACAAATGAAAGAGATCCTCAATGCCATTCCATAGGTAGGCCTTTCAGCATACAGTGGTGCCTCGCTAGACAATGATAATCTGTTCCATTGAAATTGCTGTTTAGCGAAATCATTGTCTAGCGAAAAGCATTTCCCTATTGGAATACATTGAAACCTGTTTAATGTGTTCCAATGGGGAAGAATCATCATTGTCTAGTGAAGATCAGCCATAGGAAAGCTGCTTTGCAATCCGCCGATCAGCTGTTTAAATAGCTGTCTTGCGAAGCTTAGGTCCCGAAAACACTTGTTTTGTGAGCGCAGAGGAAGCTGTCAAAATCGTTGTCTAGTGAAAATCGGTTTGCGAAGCACAGACCAAACATTGTCCAGCGAAATTCCCCCATAGGAATCACTGTTTTGCGAATCGCTATAGCGATAGCAAAAAGTCAATGTCTAGTGAAAAAACTGTCATGTGGGGTAACTGTCTAGCGAGGCACCACTGTATTGGTAGTCCATTCCATGGATCATTTATCTGTAGGCCAGTCACGTTCACATGGAAACTGTCAATTGGGCTGCGTATGAAACAAATGAAAGAGATCCTTAATGCCATTCCATAGGTAGGCCTTTTAGCATATTGGTAGACCCATTCCATGGGTCATTTATCTGTAGGCCAGTCACGTTCACATGCTTTTTCCCTAGCATGCCTTCATAACTCAAAGTACGACCCAAATAACAGATGATTAGCAGTCAGGTTAGGAATGGGTTTGGTTTATATGCTTTACATTTCTTGAACATACCGAGAATTCCCACATGACATTAAATATTGGTCAATGTATTGGTAGTCCATTCCATGGATCATTTATCTGTAGGCCAGTCACGTTCACATGCTTTTTCCCTAGCATGCCTTCATAACTCAAAGTACGACCCAAATAACAGATGATTAGCAGTCAGGTTAGGAATGGGTTTGGTTAATATGTCTTACATTTCTTGAACCTACCGAGAATTTCCACATGACATTAAATATTGGACAAGATTAGAAGACATCTTCCTATATGTCCAAAAAAGAATAAAATTGCCAGAATCCTATTTGCATTCTGATAAGCTTGGTGTGGCTATTTGCAACAAACTGTTGAGGTCCTGGGGCACATCTCAGTAATATGCTTAGTCATGTACTTGACTGTGTAACTGAGATGCCCCGTGAACTTCATCAATTGGCAACAATTAGCTTTGGCAAGGTATGTAAGATATACATGAACATTGATACGGGTTCTGGCCAACAATACTTCACATTTCTGTAGAACTTGTGAATGTTCAATGTACATTTATTATGCCGGTGACAGAGGATATATGCCTTTCCAGATTATGTTGAACCTATCATATTCCACCATTTGACTGACTTTGGCTGGAGGAATATGCTGATATCTGGAATGCCAAGCCATCTGTTCTTCTGGAAGGCTTTGCTAGTTCTGACATTGGTCAATATCTGCATGTGGGACTGCCACAAAAGCTGATATATGCCACTTAAAGTTTCATCACTGAAAAATGAAAAGAATCACATTTTTGTCATGTGGTAACTGGACATGTCATCAGAGCCTCCAGAACCCAACACAGAAGAACGGTTGCTAGATCCAGTGAGTCCTGGTTCCTCTAGAATCCAGAAAGCCAGATCTCCAGATGGCAACAGACTTTTTGGGGGCTAGAAACCCAAATACCCAAGTGATAAAGGGCTCTGGAATGGAATCAGAAGAGGCTGGACCTGTTCCTAACCTACATGAGTGCCACAGATGTAAAACACAAGTCCAGAAGGAGGCTAAAAAGGAAGTCCTTGGCTGCAAGGAGAGTCTCCTGGACAAGTGTCTCCCTTGGGCGTTCCTGAGAGAAAGTGTTCCTTCTAGGGGTGACCAAATGGCCAAATTCTGCAGATAAGCTTAGAGAGTGGGCTCAGGCAGGCCAGGTGTATTAACCTCATTGTTGAGGTTCTATTTTCATGGAAAACCAAGTATGGAGCATTGTGTACAGTTCTGGTTGCTGCACCCC